GCAGTCTGCCGAGTATATACACGGAGATACAGTGCCTTGCGAAAGTATTCGGCCCCCTTGAACCTTTCAACCTTTCGCCACATTTCAGTCTTCAAACATAAAGATATAAAATTTAAATTTTTTGTCATGAATCAACAACAAGTGGGACACAATCATGAAGTGGAACGAAATTTATTGGATAATTTAAACTTTTTTAACAAATAAAAAACTGAAAAGTGGGGCGTGCAATATTATTCGGCCCCTTTACTTTCAGTGCAGCAAACTCACTCCAGAAGTTCAGTGAGGATCTTTGAATGATCCGATGTTGTCCTAAATGACTGATGATGATAAATAGAATGCACCTGTGTGTAATCAAGTCTCCGTATAGATGCACCTGCTCTTTGATAGTCTCAGGGTTCTGTTTAAAGCGCAGAGAGAACCATGAAGACAAAGAAACACACCAGGCAGGTCCGAGATACGGTTGTGGAGAAGTTTAAAGCCGGATTTGGATACAAAAAGATTTCCCAAGCTTTAAACATCTCAAGGAGCACTGTGCAAGCAATTATAATGAAATAGGAGTATCAGACCACTGCAAATCTACCAAGACCCGGCCGTCCCTCCAAACTTTCATCTCAAACAAGGAGAAGACTGATCAGAGATGCAGCCAAGAGGCCCATGATCACTCTGGATGAACTGCAGATAACTACAGCTGAGGTGGGAGAGTCTGTCCATAGGACAACAATCAGTCGTGCACTGCACAAATCTGGCCTTTATGGAAGAGTGGCCATTTCTCAAAGATATCCATAAAAAGTCTCTTAAAGTTTGCTACAAGCCACCTGGGAGACACACCAAACATGTGGAAGAAGGTGCACTGGTTAGATGAAACCAAAGTCAAACTTTTTGGCCACAATGCAAAACGATATGTTTGGAGTAAAAGCAACACAGCTCATCACCCTGAACACACCATCCCCACCTCAGCTGTAGTTATCTGCAGTTCATCCAGAGTGATCATGGGCCTCTTGGCTGCATCTCTGATCAGTCTTCTCCTTGTTTGAGATGAAAGTTTGGAGGGACGGCCGGGTCTTGGTAGATTTGCAGTGGTCTGATACTCCTTCCATTTCAATATAATTGCTTGCACAGTGCTCCTTGAGATGTTTAAAGCTTGGGAAATCTTTTTGTATCCAAATCCGGCTTTAAACTTCTCCACAACAGTATCTCGGACCTGCCTGGTGTGTTCCTTTGTCTTCATGGTTCTCTCTGCGCTTTAAACAGAACCCTGAGACTATCAAAGAGCAGGTGCATTTATACGGAGACTTGATTACACACAGGTGCATTCTATTTATCATCATCAGTCATTTAGGACAACATTGGATCATTCAAAGATCCTCACTGAACTTCTGGTGTGAGTTTGCTGCACTGAAAGTAAAGGGGCCGAATAATATTGCACGCCCCACTTTTTAGTTTTTTATTTGTTAAAAGTTATCCAACAAATTTCATTCCACTTCACAATTGTGTCCCACGTGTTGTTGATTCATGACAAAAAATTTAAATGTTATATCTTTATGTTTGAAGCCTGAAATATGGCGAAATGTTGAAAGGTTCAAGGGGGCCGAATACTTTCGCAAGGCACTGTATAGTAGAAGAAGAAGCGCTGTCAAAATGCCATCTTTTTGTGCGGTGTACGCTTGTAGCAACCGCGCAAATAAAGAGAAAGACAAAAGTTTATTTCGTGTTCCAACTTTGGTCTCATATAAAGGAGTATACTTTGAAAAAATCGCTCGAATGAGGCGGGAGGTGGATCAAGGCATTCCCAGATAAGCGCCCCCTGCAGGCCACACAAATGAAACACAGCAATTTCTTCTGTTTTTCTTTCCAAAAATGCCTGAAACGTCACTCCGAACACCCAGAGGCTGCCGCGCAGGATGGAAGGTATGAGGGCAAAAGAGATCCAGACCCGCCGTGATCACCGGTACCTGCCGTGATCACCGGTAATGTCCCTCTCCAATAAGACTGACAAGCTAGCGGCACTGACGCGCTACCAGCCATGGCTACCAGCCATGGCTACCAGCGGGAGTACCGCGACGCCAGCCTTCGAGTCTTTACAGAAACATGGCTACACACAGAAACTCCTCCAGTGAGAAATGTTCTGCGGTGGGGAAAAAATAATAATATACAATTAAAATGCGTCAATTTTTTTAACGCGCTAACTTTTGTGTAATTAATATTAATTAACGCGTTAAAGTCCTGGACACACACACACAAACACACCCCTGAGAGAGGAGCACAGCCACCTCCCAGACCCAGAACAGTTAACATCACAGAGGCAGACATCCGAGAAAGAGTCACAGGTATTAAAAACTGGACAGCACCTGGCCCTGATATGGTCCATGCCTACTGGCTAAGGACACTCACATCACTCCATGAGCGCCTAGCAGCACAAATGAACCAGCTGCTGAGAGATGGGACTCACCCAGAATGGCTAACCAAAGGGTGAACGGTCCTGATCATGAAGGACCCTGTCAAGGGTGCAGTCCCCTCAAACTACCGGCCAATAACCTGTCTCTCCACAACATGGAAGCTCATGTCAGGCATCATTGCGGCTTAGATAAACAGGCATATGGAACGTTTAATGAGGACAGCACAGAAGGGCATTGGTAGAGACACCAGAGGAGCCAAACACCAGCTCCTGGTTGACAGAACAGTCGCCCAAGACTGCCAATCACGACACACCAACCTGTGCACAGCCTGGATTGATTACCAGAAAGCCTACTACTCAATGCCACACACATGGATCATGGAATGCTTGAAGTTGTACAATATCAACAGGGCTCTAAGGGACTTTGTTGCAAACTCAATGGGGATGTGGAAGACCACCCTTGAGGCAAATGGCCGCTCACACAAGTGACCATGAAATGTGGTGTCTACCAAGGAGATGCTCTGTCCCCACTACTGTTCTGCATAGGCCTGAACCCTCTAAGCCAGGAGTGCCCAAACCTTTTGCTTCCAAGGGCCAAAGTTAAAATTTGCCAGTGGGCCGCAGGCCAAAAACACTGATATTACACGTGAAACACAATTAAATGTAAATTTGATCAAGTTCCTTTAATTATTGTTAAATAATTAAATGCATTAATGAATGTCTATCAGTGTAAATCACAGCTGAATGAATGAAAACAACACACTCTCAGTGAAGTGGAGGCTCCAGGGAAATATGCTGGTTTGAGGAGACTACAGTACGGGAAGATTCTGGTCAGAGAATCAGGGTCCAGAGGAGGGAGAATTTCTGTCGTGGCTTATATACAGGTTATAATCAAATATATATAATCATATAACAGCTATAAAGTGGGTCTATAACACAATATTAGAAAAATACAGCACTTTTTTGGTTGCTCCTAAAAAGTTACAGACATGCCCTTTAATTTTGACACGAGACACAGCAGCAGATTGTCAGATGCACAATAGACGTAACTAATAATAAACTAGCAATAGAATGAACTTTGAACTATAAATTAGCAGCAAAACCAAATAATTCACATTAGAATACTAAAAGTAGGTACATCACATCACAAGGGATAAATTGTGACTTCTGTGACAAAACAGAAGTAAAGTCTGTAAAGTACACAGATATATGGAAACAGATACTACAGTCTTTTGTACAGTGCCTTGCGAATACTTTCGCAAGGCACTGTATATATATATATATACGTATATATATCGTTGGCGACAGTAGCTCAGTTGACCTATGAGCCTGAAGGTTGTGGGTTCGATCCCACAACAAGACTTTCTCCACCAACTCTCACTGATGTCTGCTGTCGTTGTGCAAGACACTTCCCCCCATTGCCTAGAATGAGTCTGGTGTGTGTGTGAATGGTTGGTGGTGGTCGGAGGGGCCGATGGCACATACTGGTTGCCTCGCTTCTGTCAGTGTGCCCCAGGGCAGCTGTGGCTACAGTAATAGTTTACCACCACCATGTATGAAGAGAATGAATAATGACATGTAAAGCGTCTTTCAGCATCCAAAAAAGCGCTTTATAAAACCGATGCATTATTATTATTATTATATGTGTATGTAATATGTTTATACAGTATGTGTGAGTGCTCGATGAAGAGAATTTAATTGAATTCTTGTCTTTTTAGTCAGCCCGTTGTTGTTGACGTTTTTTGTTGTTGAATTAATGGCGGGTGGACAGCACTTTTTACACTCACAGGCCTTAACGAATTGTCACTATACTGTATATTTTACCTGTATAAGAGGAGCTTTTGTATGTGTATTTGTTTGACGAGCTGCATCAAGCACGATTAAGGGTTTGCGTTTGCCTCATCTCTAAAAGCATTCTCTTCTTCCAAGGAAACATCGGGCTCAAACATGGCAAAAGGTGCAAGACTTCTACTTCACAGACGAGGTATTTTTGCTGGTTTGAAGTCACACTTTTCAACAAAATAAAAGGACATTTTTGCTGGAATCTATTTCTGATCGGTCTTAATTGATCATCTGTCTCTCAATTTTGAAAGCCACAAATTACTGACTAATCCTGCACAAGGTCTTTAACTTAAATCCAGCAGGTGGATTGCATCAGTAATCATTGCTTAGAAGCTACATATGTCACAGGCAGGAAGATTCTTGCAAAAAAAGTGGAATTGCTGTTGAATCATAATGATTTTATTGAACCACTATAGAGTGCCAATTACATACGGTCCCTTTAAGTCTTCCTGCTTAAGTAAGGCAAATCAAAGTGTAGTTATTAGGGATTTACCAATATTTTTTGGAGGGACTAATACAGAAATCAAATTCATAGGAATGCAATCTAAATAAGACGCCTTCTTACTACAAAAGTTTGGTTTGGTTTAAAAAGTGTGCAGATGCAAATGTTTATGACAAAGATGCGGTTAGTGAGAAAGATGTGGCTGCAACAATATAAAGTGAATGATGTTCTCTTGTAGGTAAAATTGTTACAGCCCTCGCTCAAAAAATTAATAAAGCTTTTGTCCAACGTTGGGAAACAACACATTCCGTTGAAACTTACCTGTGTCGTCTTTAGCGTCATCTGCTGTGTTTCCCAACTCAATGTCAAACTCCCAAACCTGGGAATGACCTGGATGACGAGGAACTAAAAACATAAATTGAAAATCATGTATAAGAATGGGCTCATATTGAAAACACTATCACTAACTGACCAGAGGGAATCGCATTATAATGGACTAGGGCAAGTTTGATTAAGGCGTCAGTATTCTTCTCCAAAGCTCTACGTCTGAGAGTGTCTGTGGAGGGTTGGAGAGCCCTGGGTCCAGTAGGGGTTGCTATCAGTGGGGGCGGGTCCCAGCTCAAAAGTGGCCAAAATGACGTGCGCTGACATGCTTGCAATACCACCCCGGGCCGATGGGGGTGGACCCAGAAGAAGAATTAGCCAATGCTAACATATAGCGTTAGCAGACCTCTCAAAAACGTCTTTACAGGATGAACCAAAAGTTGGCTCTTGGCTCAAAGCTCCGTTCCACATGTGTGTCAATGCTGAGGGGGGTGAATTTTTTTGGTCCACTCTAGTTTACTCGCTGTGAATTTTTGAAGTCTCTCGTTCAAATGAATGGAGCTGCGCTAGCTGACGCATGCGCAGATGCGTTTTTTCACAATTTTCTTGTGGGAAGGACCACTCGCGGCCATCTTGGATTGCTCCATGAAAGCACTTTTCATGGCCAACTCCTATGAACGGCGGAGATAGGCGTGACTCTGTCCGTTATTATATACAGTCTATGGTTGCTATACACAAGACTGGCCATCCTACTGGATGTACAGTTTTAAAATAACGAATAACGCTGTTGACCACTGTTGTTTGATATTCATATAATTGAAACACAGATGTGCACGATCGACAAATAGGGCTTTTCATGACGTCATGCATGTTGTAATTTTTGCCTTAAATGAGGACTTATTAATGACAACCATAGTTTTCGGGTATACTCACTTCTTGAAGACGCCCAGCGTCTCCCTCACTGCTTCCTCTCCCTATAGGCTCGCTCCAATGCTCTTTTCTGAACCAATCACTACCCTTGTTGAGACCTGACGCATCCCTGAGCAGTATGCGTCAGGTCTGTTGTGGTGGTCTGCATTTAAAACGTATATTTTGTGCACTCCGTCAGCTCCCAGTGCTGGAAAAGCATTCCACTGTTGCAGTGGAATAGGAGACAGACTTAAGAGCTCCACTCACCCAAACACTGCTCCACAGCTATTGTGTGGCCCCTCGTGTGACTTGTGTGTAGGTTTACAACCTTCTTCACCTGACCCACATCTAAGGAACGTCGCAAGGCACAGCACTCCATGCCGCTTAGAGCCACCCAATGTTTTTTTGGTCGAAAATCCCATGTTTTGCACAGTGGAACTGAGGCTGCAAGACATTTTCCCATTTAGAATACTTACTGTGAACGTCTCCTCTCTGCCGATGGGTCACTTCTCTGTGGATGTGGTTATTTACAGTTGTGGAGGTCGCTGTAGTATCCAGGAGCATTGTTGCTGGGATTGTAATTATTTCAATTGTGGTACTTTCCTGTTGTGTGGTCAAAGTAGTAGTAATAGTAGTAGTTGTAGGTACAGTAGAAGTAGTACTCTTTATAGTGGTTGCAGTACATGGTGTGGTTGTAGTAGTAGGAATAGGAGTAGTAGTCGGAGGAGTAGAACTAACAGTAGTAGTAGTTGTGGTTGGAGGTGCAGTTGTAGTAATAGGGGTGGTAGTAGTAGGCTGAGTCGTAGTAGTAATAATGGTAGGTGTAGTCGGTATTACTGTAGTATTTATAGATGCAGTAGTAGTAGCAGGTGTTGCGGTAGTAGTAGTAGTAGTGGTAGGAGTAGTAGTGGTTGTAGGAGTAGCAGTCACAGTTTTAGTAGGACTAGTAGAAGTAGTAGTAGTGGTTGTACTTGTGGCAGAAGTTGTTGTTGTGGTAGTAGGAGTAGTTGCAGTTGTAAGTCTTGGTGTTTGAGGCTCCACTTTAACTTTGGGCAAATCTGTGTGGAAAAACATAATGGGCAATTCCTTAAGCCTTTGCACTGTGAATTTAAATATGGAATTCTACCTATACCTTTACAGCTGCCATCTTTGCACTTGCACTTTGGAGCTTCAGGATTCAGAGAGCAGAACGACCTTGTGTCTTTATCTGGAAAAGAAATACCAGGTAGCACAGATACATCTCCCTAACTGTTACATTCCTCATCCTATCCATTCTAGTCACACCTATCACACTTCTCAAGCATTAAATTTCAAACACGTTCAACTTCTTTCTTTCACTTTCTCTCATACGCCACTTTTCCGCACCATACAAAAAAGTCAGCACAAGCACCCTCTCATATAGACACTCACCCTTAAGCCTAGTTTATACTCGCGCGGCGCGGAGCTTACGGAGGTGACGTGACGTCACTTGCGCAACGCGTTGGTCACTGCAAGGCCCTTACGTCGCCTGCCGCGTAGCATCGAAATTACGGCGACTACGTAAGGGTCGACGCAGGGAAGCTCCGCTGTGATTAGTCCGTGTGTGTGTATTGGAAGGAAGCACGGGGCGGCTGCAGCAGGGACATGGACGAGGCTCTATGGAGCAGAGAGCTTTGTGCTTCGAAGAAAAAGCAGTTTGGGCTCAGAGCCTGATATACAGGAGACTGTGGACTATCTAACATATATATAACTTATATCTAACATATATATAACTTATAAACTGTGCAGTCGTTTGTTTTGCACTGTTGCTGTCTTTGTTTGAATCGTAGCTGCGTTTGTTGCTTTCCTCCTGCACTCGTAAATCGTTCATGTTTGTCTCAGATATTTACCACTATTATTGTTTTGCTGTTTGTGCTGAAAACTATTTAATAATAACTATGTTTCCAACAAGAACTGTGTCTTTATTCACAGCATCACAGTTGAAATGACTTATAAAATAATGAATCCATAAAACTATCACATAAACCTACAGTAGAAACACGTGTAACGAGCTCAAACAGCTTTGTTTGCTATTATTGTTCTGAAGAGGACAAAGTAGCAGCGTAAATGGGGCCGCTCCTGTGTGATCGCCCTCATGTGGTTTGTTGTGGGATTACAACATTCTCCTCAAAACTCCGTAAGGGGAACGCGCCAGTATAACATCAATTGTGCTTACGTAGGTCCACCGCAACCGCTAACGTAAGCCACGCCGCGCAAGTATACACTAGGCTTTACATTCTTACCCCTCACCACACCTAACACCTGGTCACCCTCACTTATCCTTTGTGCAACCTCTTTCACACAGCTTCCTTCCAACTCAGTAGTACAGATTGTACTGTATGTTCCATATGGTGTTTCTTGTTGTCCTGGACCTATATATACAAGTGTGTATGTAATACTGTATATGTTTGTATGTTCATCTTTGTTCTGTTTTAAACATCAATTTCAAAAAGTAAAACAAAGAAAAGATTATTGCCTTCTTTGCAATTGCTAACTATCCAACCAAAAGTATAAATCCTTCTTGGGTTTTTGTGTGACTGACCAATGCAGCTGTAGCGCCCGTTGACATAGCTCAGTCTGGATCCAAAGTGACATGTACAAACAAAGCTCCCGAAAGTGTTGAGGCATTTCCGCCGATGAGGACAGATTCCGGGCACCGTCACACACTCGTTTATGTCTGTGGGACAAAGAAGCACGACCGGATTCATACCAGCGTTCATTATGTAAACTAACATATCTTTCACATAATTTTAACACTAGAAAACCCAACCGAAATTGGCCCCTGTTTTGAGAAGAGGGAGCTAACTTGCTAGGTTGGCTGCTAACATTTGCATGTATTGATTTGCAAATGTAGGTAATGACTTATAACAGCAGGGGGCTGGGGTGGGCTTTGTTTATTCGTGCGGGGGAGGGAGAGCTGCAAGAGAGTACTACAGTAGTCTGTGAGACCACAGATACACATGTGCTGTGTACCCTGAGAATGCGCTGTATATATTTTGTAATCAGTTTTTCTCAGTGTCTTTGGTGCATTTTTCACATAATTCTTCACATTTTAACAACAGTTAGTGCATTTCTCAGAACAATGAGTGCAAACTGCAAAACCTCATGGATAACCTGCTAAAAAGTCACTTTCTCAAAATGAACTTAATTCCTCAACAGAAAGTCTTCATGTCAATGAAACTGTCTGTATCTCAAAAGAATAAGTCCTGACACCAGTGTTTATGAACAACAGTCAAATGATTTAGTCATGTTTTCATTGTGACTGTATTTAGTGATACATATGTATGTACTGTATGTTCACATATTTACTGCTTATGCTCTTTGCAATTCTACAGCATTCTGCAACAAAAATAGTACACATACAGTATTTACCAGAGGTGGGACAAAGTCATTGTTTAGCAAGTCACAAGTCAGTCTCAATTCATTGCCCTCAAGTCCCGAGTCAAGTCACGAGTCAAGACAGGCAAGTCCCGAGTCGAGTCCAAGTCAAAGGCCAACAAATCTCAAGTCAGTCCCAAGTCCTACGGTTTGACTTTCGAGTCCTCTCGAGTCTTTTTGACCGCGATTTGTTTCTTGTTGGTCTCCACGTACTTTTGTAGGCAAACAAAATAATGTTAGGAATCATTTTGCTGGTGCATTCTCGTTGGTCTCTGACCCATGGACTAACAGTTTGTTCCATGTGGTTGGCTGCTGGTAAATCAAAACTATGTTGTGCCAGATGCAGGCTCAGTTACACATGCACAGACCACACATAAAATCAGAGCAGTCCGTGTCAACATACTTTTTATCTTTGGGGTTTTTAATGGGAAGTAGCAAGTGCAGCATATATGAATATGAGTATTGGGCTAGGACCTGTATCTATATAATCAGTTTAATGTCCATAGTGGTTATTGTTCCAAAGGACTGAAGGGACCAATGGAGGGGAAGGAACCTGGCCTGTATGAACTGGGCCAGCATTAGTAATATCTCATAATTACCAATATATCATTACATAATAAAATGTCTCATATAAATTAATTCAATCAGTCAAAGTACTGATTCTCATATCAATGAACCATAAACAATAGTGCAAATATTAATCTAGCTTAGTGCACATAATCAAAACAACTATCTAATGTATGCAAACTTTAGCAGGAGGAGCACAGCAAAAACATACTCATAATAATAGGCCTCGGCGCCCACACAGAAAAATATAAGAAAGAGCTAACAGAGCAGCGCAGGCTAGCGCTAGTTTGACTCACCAGTTCCTCTTTAAAACACGGCACACAGTGTGACAACTGCGTCGATTCAATTGTATGAGGCGCCTGTAGTGAAAGCATATCAAATACGGTTTGTAGAACAAAATATGACGTTAGGTCGCGATAAATACCTGCAGCTCGCTCATTTCCAGCTCCCCTAGACAACACACCCACCGGTGAATGCAGTCCGCTTGTTTAGGGAAGTGTTGCTGCGCGAACTGCCTGGAACTCACGTTCGAACTCTCGCGCGAGCGCTACAACTACCGCGAGGCTTTGTTTCTTCAGAGACGGCATAGATAGAAAGAGATGCGGAGAAAGGTAAAAATGGCCCGGGTTACGCAAGTCTTTGCAAGTCAATTGGCGCAAGTCCAAGTGAAAGTCAGAGTCATTGATGTTAAAGTCCAAGTCGAGTTGCAAGTCTTTTTATATTTGGTCAAGTCGAGTCTAAAGTCATCAAAATCATGACTCGAGTCTGACTCGAGTCCAAGTCACATGACTCGAGTCCACACCTCTGGTATTTACGTAGAAAAACATACAAAAAATCATTACGGTAGAACCTCCACAACATTGAGTCGTGTGTGACATCATCGCGGCAGTTTCTCCTTTGAACACTTTACAAATGCTTTTGGACATGTATCAGTTACTTTCATACAGTTCTCTGCTGTTTTATAACATTAACATTTGCTTCTGTCCTGTCAATCAGAATGAAACATACTTTTCACGACTGAATAGTTTCTGTAAAACCAGTAGTCCTCATTTCATCGCTTTGGTCATCACATACAAAACTGTTCAAAACCAAAATCTGTCAAACTAATTTCATACATTACTTTATCTTTTTATATCCAGAAAATCTTTCCTAATTTCGAATTTCAGCTTCACTCATGACGAGGTGTGTGTTTTATTGTTTACATTTGTCACAGTTCTACCATAATGATAATTTGTATGTTTGCTCTATGTATGTGACTGTATTTCTGTTGCACAATGCTGTAGAAAAGAGCATATGCAGTAAATATGTGAAAGACATACAGTACACAGACATACATCGAAACACATACATGCACAAACACACACACACAGTAAATACATACATGCACAAACACACACACACATACAGTACATACAGTATAAATGTTCTTTTACTCTCACTAAATACAGTTGTGTGTAACTTTACTGTAGTTTTCAGCTGTACAGTGCTCACCAAGATCAGATTTTTTGCTTTGAAAACACAGAGAGTAAAGTGTCACAATGAAAACGTGACGAAGTCATTTGACTGTGTTGTTCATACTCCATGTTGTTAAGACTTATTATTTTGAGACAGACAGTTTCCTCGACATGAAGACTTGCTTTTGAGGAATAAACTTTTCATTTTGAGAAGGTGATGCACTTTTACAGGTTATCCCCAAGGTTTTGCAGTTTGTACTAATTGTTCTGATAAATGCACTAACTGTCGTGCAAATGTGAAGAATTATGTGATAAATGCACCAAAGACACTGAGAAAAACTGTAAGTAGCATATTTATTTTGTAAACAATGTAAATTTATACATTGAATGACGTTGCTCGTTTGTTTTCTTTCAATTCACTTTATTATTTTCATTATTATTTTTTAACTAAAGTCAGCATGACACTAGATTTAACTCATTTTAACTAAACAGATCCTCCCTCTCCCGAAGAAGACAAAGTAAAGTGGTTGAGCAACTTCAGCTCAGCCTGTGATAATGGCCTTATTTACATAACAAAGTTGGCCGTTCACAGGTGATTTAGGCCCTGTCCACACGAAGTCAAGCTCAGGCCTAAACGCAAAAATACTTTATCAATCCAGTGTATCGTCCATACGAGGCCGGCGTTTTGGGGGGGTGTAAACGAACATTTTTGAAACTAGGTCCCAGAGTGGAAAGATTTCAAAACTCCGTATATGCCGCTCCGTGGTTACTGCCTCTCCGCAATGTATCTGAGACGCTTGCGTCATCGCCCCGCCTCTTGTTAAAGCACGCATGCGCCGCACTCAGAAAATAATGACAACAACAATGTAGCTTGTTGGTTTTGTAATCCAGTGTGACCCGAAGCAACAGTTCAACCTCATCGTCCGTCCATACTAATGTAGTACCAGCTCGCCCACTCGCCATGTTGTCTGTTTACAAAATTCCGCGCATGCCCACGGAAGTTTGGGCTTGATCCCGTCATTGCGTCACAGCGCCACCAACAGGTCTGGCATAGTTTCAAAGCGTTTTCAGGCGTATTGACTACATTCATATGGACGCACACATTTACTGAGCTAACTCCGTGTTTACAGAAAAAGTTTCTGAAATTATAAGCGTTTTGTCTTCGTGTGGATATAGCCTTAGTTTGTTAGCTAAAATCCTTGGAGTCATTTGGCACCGTGGTGGGCTTTTTAGGTAGAAGTGCCAAATGGCACCTCCATGGGTTTGCTAGTGTTAATCAATGCTGCGATTGCTATAATGACATAATAAATCAAAGAAGTCATCTTTAACAATGGCTACACTGAAAGCTGAGGCCCTGTAGTTTTGGCCTTTGATAACTCATTAACTCTCATTAAAAGCGATCTGCATCCACATTTGTCTACATGTTTGGTTTGGTAAAAATCAATGATGGGCAGATGAAGCTCCGTACACACCTTTCTTTGCCAGATTGTTTCAAATGGGTCGATGAATCTGAGCTAGCTCAGACAAGTTTGTAACACTGACATCTGGTGGACAAATGTAATCATTGCAGCTTCTGAATTGAGTGCACGGAAAGCATCACATCGCATTTTAATAATAATGACTATATCACCATGAAACATAAATGGCAGAGAACATTAAAAAAAAGATGACATAATTTCTTGTTTGGTTGACCCAAACCATGTTTATCCATTTTCCACTTGCAGATGCCATTAAAGTCGCCAAATTCACCAACACTGTTCAACACTTTGTCTCTTCCCTTCCCAACATTGTGAAGAAATATTGATGAATGGAACGCACAATAATGAAATCTGTGACGTTGCCTGGGATGGCACAGCCGGGGCCCCACCCTGGAGCCTGGGGTTGGGGCTTGTAAGCAAGCGCCTGGTGGCCGGGCCTTTGCCTACGGGGCCCAGCCGGCTCAGCAGGAAAGGACGACGTGGGCCACCCCTCCTGTGGATCTACCACCCACAGAGGGATTAATGGGGGAAAGGTCCAGAGTGGACTGGAGGGCAGTCGAAGATGGAGACCTTAACGACCCAGTTCCCACTCACAACATTTGGCTGTTGGGACGTGGAACGCCACCTCACTGGGGGGACAGAGCCTGAGCTCGTCAGGGAGGTTGAGCGATACCAACTAGAAATAGTCGTCCTCACCTCCACACACAGCTTGGGCTCTGGAACCCAACTCCTTGAGAGGGGTTGGACACTCCACTTTTCTGGTGTTTCAAGCGGGGAGAGGCGGCAAGCGGTATAGCCAG